TAACTCTCCTGATGTTTAAAATAAATAAAAAATAAATAAAAATAAAGTGATTGTTGATATATGGGCTTGATTGGAGCTTTTAATCCATTTGCATTTAAAGTAATTGTTAATAGCCTGGTTGGTGTGGCTCATTGGTTGTATAGACCCATGAACCAGGAGGTCAAGGTTTGATTCCTGGTTAGGGCACATGCCCAGGTTGTGGGCTCGAACACCAGTAGGGGGCATGCAGGAGGCAGCTGCTCAATGATTCTTTCTCATCATTGATGTTTCTCTCTCTCTCTCTTACTCTCTCCCTTCCTCTCTGAAATCAATAAAAACATACTTAAAAATAAAATCATTATTGATATGCATGTATTTATTGCCATTTTATTATTTCTATTTTTTATCTTTGTTTTCCTTCTTAAAGGAGACACTTTAACATTTCATATAATACTGGTTTGGTGTTGATGAACTCCCTTAGCTTTTTCTTGTCTTGGAAACTCTTTATCTGTCCTTTGATTGTAAAGGTTGTAGGTACTTGCTTTTCATCACTTTGAATATTTTGTGTCATTCCCTTCTGGCCTATAAAGTTTGGGTTGAGAAATCAACTGAAAGTCTTATGGGAGCCCCCTGTAGGTTACTAATTGCTTTTTTCTTGCTGCTTTTAAGATTCTCTTTGTCTTTAACCCTGGGCATTTTAATTATGATGTGTCTTGGTGTGGGTCTTTTTGGGTTCATCTTGTTTGGGACCCTCTGCACTTTCTAGACTTGTATATCTATTTCCTTCACCAGCATAGAGAAGTTTTCCATTATTATTATTTTAAATAGGCTTTCAATTCCTTTCTTTCTTTCCAGCAACCCCATGATGCAAATGTTGGTTTGCTTGAAGTAGTCCCAGGGGCTCCTTAAACTGTCCTCATTTTTTGGGATTGTTTTTTTCTTTTTGTTGTTCTTATGGGTGTTTTCTGCTTCCTTATCTTCCAAATCACTCATGTGATCTTCTACTTAATCTACCTACTGTTGATTGCCTGTAATGTATTCTTCACTTCAGTTATTGTATTCTTCATTTCTGACTGGTTCTTTTTTATGTTTTCTATCTTCATTTTTATGCTTCCTATCTTTTTGTTGAAGTTCTCACTAAGTTCATCTACTCTTCCCCTAAGTTCATTGACATTCTTACAACCAGTGTTTTGAATTCTGTATCTGATAAATTGCTTGTCTCCATTTTGTTTGTTTATTTATTTATTTCTGGAGTGTTGTTCTGTCCTTTCATTTGGGACATGTTTCTTTGTCTCCTTATTTTGGTAGCCTCCCTGTGTTTGTTTCTATGTATTAGGTAGAGCTGCTATGTCTCCTGGTCTTGGTAGAGTGGCCTTCTGGGTCCTGTGGGCCCAGTTGCACAGCCTCCCTGATCAGGTAAGCTGGGCATTCCAGTTGTCCCCTCCTCCCCAGTGTGGGCTATGTGCACCCTCCTATTGTAGTTGAGGCTTGAGTGCTGTTGTCATGTCAATGTGAGGGATTTACCCCAAGGTCAGTTGGCTGTGATGACTGACCACAACCACAGCAGAGGATCTGATGTGCCAGGGCTGACCCCACAGAACAGGACTTGCTTTAGAGGCTTCTGGTTCCTGACAAGTTCACCCCTTGAGTGTGTCGCTCCTGGAGGTGGTTGGATGGTGCTCTGGGGTGGTCTGAAGCGATGTACAGGGTGTGCTGGCTTTGGGGCCTCCCAGGAGGTGCAGGCCAAGGTCAGCCACCGCCTGTGCCCTGCCTGGGGCCACCTAGTGTGAGCTACAAAGTGA